TGGACCGCCGTGGAATGATCAAGTGGATCCGCATATTCATTCACTTAAGGCGCGAAATTGAATACGAATCTGACCTCCATTTTCAGAGTTCTTGATTAACAATTCAGTAAATAATTGGAAGCAATTTTCAGAGAATGATTTAACAGCCTACACTTTTCGCCTTAATACGTCTCCGGCGTAAGTGGGATACCGTTAATACAATCAGATTATGACCGCGCTTGATTTCGTTGCCGCCTGACCTGCAGTATACGCCGCAACTTGTGCAGCTTCATAACCTTCGTACTTTGGCAGACCGGTCGGCAAGCATATTAAAGGAGCGTAGCCGTTAGTTTTTCGGTTGTTGGAGAAACGTTAACCATATTTCACGCACTGTCGTAAGCCTGATTAAAATGTGGGTGCATATACGGAGAGAGAGAGATAGAGAGAGAGAAAGAGAGAGAAATAAACGTCTATTTAGAAAACAGTGTTCCGAGCGAGGCCTGCTGTCACCCTAAGGTGGGAGGGTTTCCTAGTCCAGGAACCTTCTGGCTTCGGCTGCCCTCTTGGCCCTGGCGACGAGTTGTCGCTAGTCTTCCAAGTCCTCGAGGACGATTTAGGCCTCCCACGTTTTGTAAACTGAATTTTTTTTTTTCAAAAAGTATTCAACTATCCCTTCCCCCGCCCGAGTATAATTTGCGGCTACGCTATTGAGATGCCTTTTAATACACGCGTGTATACTCCTTCGTTATAGCCACCGTAGTTCTTCGTTATAGCCACCGTACCTTCATCAAGAATCTGCATAGATGACCTGTGAGAAAAGGAATAAATCTGGATTACAGTAAAATAAGTTCCTAATATGCCGAAAGCGTTTTAGAATGCATCTTCATAAAATTTAAATTGTCCAACGTTATAAAGGAGATAGAAATTGCGGGAGATAATAGATGTCGGTGTGGATATAGGTAGACAGGTACAACTTACATGCCACCAAGACAGGCGAAGAAGAAGACGAGGCGGGCCTTGACTCAACGCGGGTGAGTAACCCGCATGTGGATTCATGTCATTCGCGGATAATCTGGTTAATGCACGGGTAATGAAATATATTGATGATAACGCAATATTAAACCGCAGTCCACGGTTATATTATAGTTCAATATGATGCGCGCATGTTGATTTAGAGAGCCGCATGCAACTTACTATAGGCGTCGGCGAGAATATATATATACTGTGCATTAGTTACTCTAAGCGTACGATATGGTTGAGCAATCAATTTTATTAAAACAGATGCAATATTACCACCACTTATTCAGTTTTTTAGTTTGTAATTCGTTGTTATTTCTATTAGGAAAGAAAGATGGTCTGACCGCTTGCTCAGTAAGCATATTTATTTGCTCAGTAAGCATATTGGTTTTAGTTAGACAGTCCAGTACTTTAAGCATTCTGCCTCCCGGTTCTTGGACCATCTTTCCTTCTGGGGGAGCACCATTCATATGGGTTCATCACCATCATATCATCAAAATACCTAGGAGGTATATATAATTAACATTTAAACTGGCAACCTCATACTGAATAAATCGCAACAAAAGAAGTACGCGCAATGGGTATAAGGCAATAAGCTTTTCCAGTTAATACATTCTATGGTTACTCTAAAAAGTGTTTCAGGGCCCCTTTAAGGTTGTGCGAATCACTGTCTAATCATACTCAAAAAGTTTTCATTTCCAATCTATACTTTTTTTTTTCGAGCACTGGCCCAGATTTTCTTAGCGACAAATGATATCTGTTCAAAAATTACTCGACTACCTAAATGTATACTGATTTACAATGTGCTTCTTTTGACGATACAACCTGACCCCATAGACATTGTATACCTCAATATCTTTTCCGAACAATGTCAAATTATTACCTTACAGCATTTTAAATGGACTGTTACAAAAGCATCTAAATAATCGGCCAACGAATGAATGTCATTACAGCGGACGCATGGCGATCTGAGGAAATATCTCGCGCATAAAAATACTTCGCCCAGAAATTGAGCGGTCTTTTTCATTACAACTGCTAGGTTTTATTCCTGTTGTTACAACTGAATTTATGGCTATAATATTAGCCTAACGAAAGTTAAGCGGGTAATTACAGTACCGAATATCTGCGTGCTCTTCTCTTCCCGCATCTGGTGAAACGCCTCTACTAAGCTCTTCAAAGTACTTGTGCCCGCTAGCCTTTAATGTATCAATTTAATTTGGGTTACGGGCCACAAATGTTTGTTGTTAAACGAAAGGGCCGATTCTTCAGCAAAGGCGGCGCTTTTGGCACCGATAATTCGGGTTTTCCCGCTAACGGCATGCATGACAACTGCAAGATTCCGCACACTGCATCATATTAAAAAAAAAACATAAAATACCTTGTACTGACGACTTCTACTAAATATAAGCACCTATTATTTCCTGGCACAGCGATTTATCGAGTTCGATAATAATGGAAGTGGCTATAACCAATTAAATGTCAAATGTCGCTGCCGCGTTGCCTCCTACAATTTTACCTATCTAGGGCAAGTCCATAGCGCTTTCCCCTCTGCGCCTTTTTTTCTTAATGAGGAAGAAACCATTAGTTATTACTTTCTATTATGTCGCCGGTTCACGTTATTGAGGAGAAGACTCATGGTGCCACCTCTTCGAAATCTGGGTCTGGAAGTATCCGAATCAGTTATTCTTTCTTTTGGCACCTCTACTCTACAGGCTGGGCTACAGTCAAAGGGGTGTTTTATCCTTCATTGAGGAATTCATCACTTAGCGTAAAAGAATATCTGGCGAAAGTCTTCATCCTTTTAGTCCGAATAATTAGTAATGAAATATTTAAGTTCGTTATATTGGTGCATTCGAGCTTACATGAGTAAGATATAAAAAAAAATACTGAAAGAATTACTATTATTCAGCCAATCCACTGCATCGGGTATGAGCCACCAGAGAAAGAGAAGATTGGTCTACATTGTTGTGGGGTAGAATTCGAGACTAGTTTTATTCTTTGTTTTATTTCACGCAGTCGTTTCTCGAGGAAAGCGACGACTTAATTCGCCAGCTTGGAATCTTTATGCTTAATCCAATGACCCCCTTTTTTTTTTCTAAGAGTTCTGTGTTTCGGTGGGAAGGCTGCATTCTTAGCGACTCTGTTCTATGACAGTATTAAACGCAGCTATGCTAATAAGACACCGTTTGACTACTTCGTCATTAAAACTATACATAAATTTAAAATATTCCTCGACTTTGAGCAATATATATAGCTTGCTCTCCTTAGTTCCGGTTTATTTTCGGGCCACCAATCAGTCTTTTTTTTTTTTTTGCGTGCGCGTTGGGGATTCATTTCTAAACACGTTGCACTCCTAGCTTTTATCTGTATACTGATCATTATTGTAATCGATTCACTTTCTCCTTTATTTAAATATCGTCCTTACCGAACTCGAGTAAACTTGATATTCTTTATATCGAAGCATTTTCGATCACATAAATGCTTCAAGACAAGGCATAAGAAAATCTACGGCTACATCTAGCAAAAATAGCCTGAACACTTCATATATCGAGCAGCATGGCGAATCGCCTCAGGAAGTTGGCTTTTCCTCAAAAGCTCTGCACTTCTTTTTTCACAGAAGTGGGACTTTTTTGCGTGCATTTGAAGTAGTGCGATAAGGAGAGTAGAAACTACTGCAAGTCATCGTGTGTTTTTGGTTACGTCACGAGCCAGTCGTGCAGGGTTGCCGTTCGCCTTTTCGTTTCATCATTAACGCGATAATAATAACAATGATAATAATTCTTGCACAACAATATGAACCTTCGAGTGACGTGCGTGTCTAGAAAGCGAAAAAAAATTCCTTAGCTCATGCGTCCGTCACCTATGGATTTCTTAAAACAGGTATATAGAACCATTTGCTATCCGAAAAGCCGGCAACAATCAAGACAGTTGAACTTGAGGGAACTCACGTCGCCGCTGTGACCTGCATCCGAATAAGCACATTGATTACTATATTGAAAAAAAAAAAAAAACTAGTCCCTAGGAGGACTAGACGCTTCCAGTGCCCGTCGAGCACTGAGATGCACATGAAGATTGTGAGGTGCTATTTAAATCAATACCGTCTTTTTATTGCGCATAATCAGCCAGTGTATATTCACTCCGTATAGAAAACTACAAACCGAGGAAAAATACAAAATAATTTTTTAAAGTTCTTTTGTTGTTGGCTTCTCTGTCTATTTTGAAATATACAAAATAAAGTTGATTGATTGATTGATTGATTGATTGATTCTTTAAAATATCATAAGGCAGTGCCGTAAAGCCAACTTCTGCGCTCTCGGAAAGCCAACTTCAGCAACTTCCGCGAATTTGCGAGTTCGGCATATGTGGGTTCGACTGTATTTGTTGTACGATAATTGTGCGAGTCTTTTTTGTCCTGTTACCGCTTAAGGAATCCCCCGAATTACCCGTTTTGTGTGGGTTACAGGGCTTCTTAATTATCATTACCAAGATCTCACTGATTGGGTAGACAAAGTTTTCGGTACAATCGCAAATGTGGTTGGGCTTCTTTATTTTAATAAGTGGGGACTCGATTGCATGCTGAATTAGTATACCATCACTCCTTACATAAATCTAGACTGGGTATACAATTATCGTGGCAAGAACTACGCCCATTCATGTGTCTATGCGCTCAACCGACGCCGCCGCATGTAGATGTTACATTAAGTGTGATTCCACACAAAGCGAATCGTATCTATCCGTGAATTTCTTACCGATTCACGAGCTCATCAGTCGCAATAATTGGCTCCTTGGTTACCTTGCAGGGCTCGAAGTTTTTGTGATTAAACTTATCATAGCTATAACTCATCATTTATGCCCGTGTTTTCATCTTAACATTTTGAAAATTTTCAGACCGGACATCCGGTTACGGGATCCTTCTACCGAGGCCGCACCTTCATCGTTATAATACAGTGGTGTCGTTTTGGAAGGTGCCTGCGCTGATTGGACGTTCACTGCCGAAAAACCACATGGTCACCGTAGCGAAGCCACAACGCATCACTGCCATTCTCAAGCGGCTCGCCTTTGCCGTAACGTGCTCATTCCTGTTTTCCCAGGCTTGGCTAAAGTTCACCACTAACCTTCAACGAGTGAGCGTATATGCTTACTATAGTGTTTTACGCTCATTTTCACTTTTGCGACAAATAGCACCGGACGCATCACGCCAGAATGAAACGCGGAAGGCAATCTGCAAGTTGTAACAACTGCGCGTGCTACTATATTAGGGCACGGTACAGGAATTCACTGCAGGGCCACGCCCACACAAACGTCACAACCGCACTGCGCTAGAACTGTAAGGGAGTCCACTATCCGGTGCATGGGAGCCTACATTAGACAAGGCTGAAGAAACACCGCAATAAAGTTGCAGGGTTCCTTCCGCATTTGCCTAATACGACCCGGAGGCGAAAACCATGCTTTGCTTATCAATAGCTCACTTGCGAAGCAGGAGTAGCAGGGGGAATTGGGGTGGGGGATAGGGTCCCGAGAGTTTAATTTTACACGCGTAATATACAGGCATTCATACAAATGCACTCGCGAAGATGCATAAAGTATGGCTGAACTTTCAACGTTAGTTCGGTATGCCTATAGTTTGTTATTACGCGGTAAATTGGTGTCTCTCAGTGTCAGTATAGCGTGTAGAGAATGACGTGTTCTACAGCGAAAGATACTATGAGATCACAACAAAAGTCGCGTGCGCCATAATTATCCGCCGCCGCCGCCGCCGGTGTCCGTCACTGCTAACACGCGAAATAAGAAAAAAAGAGACGTAGTTGATAATAAACACTAAGGAGACAATGGGATTCGAACACGGGTCTCTTGCGTGCCAGCTCAGTATATTCTATACCACTGAGCCACGCTGTTTTTCTTTCTTTGTTGCCTTTTTGACTACAAGTCAAGATGTATCGCAGTTTATTTATATTTTATTTATTTATTTGGGCATTATTCACAAAAAATGCCCACGAGAGGGAGCAAAAGGAGAAAAGCGTCTCCTGATTTGGCCCAACGTAGCTGACTAAGTGCGCGTATTGAGCCGCAATGGTGCTTGAATCATCGATGCAAACAGGCCATAGACAGGCTTGAGGTCGGGAAATAAAGAGAGGTAATATGAGTAATAAAGCGTTTTGGAATAGCAAATGAAAAAAAAAAGCAGACGCCACACAATACAAATTGCGTAACGAGTGGCTCATCGAATGCCCCAACCCGTTACAAGATGTTCAGGCGTAATTCTTCATCCTCGACAGCAAAAGAATGAAAATAATTATTCAAAAATCCTTGTGAGTTAGTAGTGGGCGCCACGCTTTTACGAAGAATCGACGAAGATTGGCTTAGTGATTGTCTCCTTACTCCACAAAAAATCATAATTTATGGCATAGTGGGTACTCTGCAGGTTTGCTTGGAGCAGTAACTCAATTACAGTTTTAAAAAAGGCTCTCAAAGGCCGCTCTTCCAGCGACAGCTGGAAGAGTGTGCTGCGCGTCGCGCATAAGTCTGGCAGTTTTTGTCAATTTTCGCTATATCGAGTTCGATTATAAGCATCACTCGATCATTTCTTCCCCCTCCCCCAGTGTATTAGTATTACCAATAGTGTATTATGTTGTGCACGTTAGCTTATTTTTTGAGTTACACAATAATCTCTACTCATGCATGCACACCACGGTGGGCTATAGGACATGAAGGGACACTAAAGGCAACTATTAAGTCGACGTTGATTCCTGAAATAGCGATCCAGAAACTTCGAAGTGTTACTTTTGTGCTAAGGAAGGGCTTATTTTGAAATAAAGTCGCGTTTTAGTGTTCCGCATCAGGTTAGCGCATTCCAGGTCAACCGGCTCAAGTGGAACGTCTCACGTGACTGTTGCCGTGCACAATGTTGCCTGGCTTTACTGCGCGGCCGCCGACACTAGCAGAACGAAAGCAGCGGGAGTCACAGTGGCAACAACGGCCATTGATTAATTTCCTGCCATTGGCTACGAGATAAAAGACGTGTTTTGGTTCAACCGGCCCCGCTAGATAACATGACTGGTCCAGTTTAACCATGCGAAAATGAAATTTTTGAACCACCCGAGTCTCTCCGCTAGTAACGTCCGGCGGTTCTTTTTTTTTTTTCATGAATCAAACAGGAACGAACAAATAGAATTTGATTGCGTCTTTTGGTAAACGGAAGGATCTTGTTTAGTGCAGCTAGATCGATTACTATCGATTAATTGCAAGTGGTTCGTCTGACGTCATCGAGGTGATTCTGAGAATGTCCTACTGCGGCGCGCGTAATCTCGTGCATTTACCCGAACTTCTCGATAAGTAGTGCACTGCTGTTGATAACATTGTCGTTTCAGATGTTGTCCTACATCAAGCTTTTCATCTGACGTAAATTGTTGTTTGACTTTAGTGTCCCTTTAAGCCCAAGCGTATCTGAAATTTATTTCACCGTAGCTTATATGCAAACGCGCTGCATCTCAAACAACGCAGCCTCCTCGTGGACGGCCATCACAGTTCGCCATCGACTTCGAACGCGATTCCTTCATGCTGGCCGGCGAGCCGGTGCGGATCCTGTCCGGTTCGCTCCACTACTTCCGCACGCCGCGCGAACTCTGGATGGAGCGCCTGGCCTACGCGCGCGCCGCCGGCCTGAACACCATCGACACGTACGTGACTCTATGGCACAGAGTTTCTCAAAATTAACTAGAGGGCACTCTGGCGCTGCGATCGTTCAGCGACCATGGGAATGATGGGTAGTACACACATATGCCTAGTCTTCGTACTTGCGGGCGGCGAATCGTACTTGCGGCTTCGTTTATTACTGGTTACGGTTTTGTTTCGAAAGAAAGAACGAACCCTTTCGAACTCAGGGACTTGATTCAAAAAAGCTTAAAAGAATAAGGTTGTGAAGCGCAAACGGTGGACATTTGCTAATTTATGTTTTCGTGAAAAAACAGCTCCAAGCCACACGAGCCAGAAGCAGGCCAGAAGTACGAAAATTAAGACAAATGTGTGTACTACCCATAATTCCCATACTCGTTGAAGCGCCGTGTGTTGCAACTCCCATAGACACTTGCGCCAGAATTCCTTCTAGTAAGTATTGTGGGAAACTCTATGCTCTATGGGACAGACACCTCTGACGGGGCCTATACCTTCTTGTGTTATAGAGGCAGACGGAAAGGAAAAATCCAAGTTCACGATCCGTTACCCTATCAAAAAAAAAAAGGGGGGGGGGGGGCGATCTTTACAGATCATGCCGCAATGTTTCAGAAGTTTCGCGATTTTCCGACACCAGCCTCTTAAAGTTTACACACAGAACGCGAATAGTCAAATTTATTTTTCGAGATTACGCGAGCAGCAGTGATAAGGTTCCAATGTTTGATGTCGCATGTGTAAATGCCGGCGCGTTTTACCACAGATCAGATTATCAGATTATCAACGGCCCATGCTCTGTTCGCCGATATCAGTGTATACGCAGCGCGCATTGCTTGTACTTCACCTTCCATTACTGGGCACAAGTTCACCCAAATTTTGTCTTGGACACGTTGACTGCTGCCTTCGTCGACGTCGCGTCCACGTGACAATAACTACAGCCATTAAAAAGTAAGCTCTGCGTTTAGGACCGCCTTATGTCTTACCACGGTGTATTCTTATACCGTGTGTCTTACCAACAAGACCGAATCTGTCCTCCTTGTATATGATTTCCACCACAGCGTTCACGATAGGGTCTGCATGTGAATGACTGGGTTAAAGAGATTGCCGTTCATCTTTTAGAAAATGCTTTGAAAAGAGGCCCGATTGATTTGTGGGGTTTAACGTCCCAAAACCACGGTATGATTATGAGAGACGCTTGAAAAGAGGTCTCCTGACAGTTGTATACTGCTGAATACACGCGCAGCTTCGTCGAGTGGAGCAGCCACGAGCCGGAAGAAGGTCTTTTCGACTTCCGCGGACAACAAGACCTGGTGTCCTTCCTGGAGATGGCCCACAACTTGAGTCTGATGGTCATTCTCCGGCCAGGCCCTTACATCGGCGCCGAACGAGACATGGTGCGCACACGAAACGTCACATCTGTTGTTTTTTCTTCACTCAAAGATGGTGTTATGCCAGCGAGTCCTCGTCAAACGACCGTGCCTCTGAAAAAGGCAATCTGGGTCAAGGCCAGCCCGCAGTCTGCCTGGCGCGATCACCTCGACGGCGTGAACACGCGCGGCGCTCCTCTGGCCCACGTGCAGTGAGTCAGTTGCGCACGTGACAGCGAGCCGGCGTCCTCGTGTCAGGTGGTCTGACGCATGGCGCGGCGGCCCCATCTTCTGATTGGACATTTTGGTTGGACCCGGTGTAAATAAAAGAAGCCCTGCGGCGCGTCGCGATCGGAGGTCCTAGGAGAGGAGTCCCCGTGTCGGAGTGCCGACATGTGTGTGAGTCAGCGGTCTTAGGCGAAAGGCTGACCTATGTGTGAGAGAGGAGAGCTCGGCTCTTCGAGTCTCTGTCGGCCCCAGTGCCGAAATTGTAACGCCTCTGTATATATGCTGTACATAAACCTTGTTTAACTCACCGTCGTCTCGTCCGCTCGTCTTATCGGCTCTGCGCAGAAGCAGTCGCGAGCTGAGATACATGCGCTACCAAACGGCTGGTGACCTTCCCGGCGGAGTTGAAAGCAGTGGCGCCTCCGGGGCCGTGTTGGCGTCGCCGTCTTTCGCAACAGTGGTGGCTTCGGTGGGATCGGTCCGTCGTTCTCAACAGTGGAGGTCAGCGGCGGGATAGGCCCGGCGCTACGCAACAGTGGTTGGCAGCTGCGGGATCGGCCGGCGTCAGCGACATCGATGCGGTGAGTGCCTGATGTTTTCCCCTCAGTTCACCAGACTACTCTAGCTCAGGTTGTAGTAGTTTAGAGAAAGGGCTGTGTGAAGCATTGAAGTGAGCTTTGATCGTTTCAAGCCAAGTTGAAGTGCTTTGAAACCAAAGTTAATGCGGAGGTGGTAAACACGGGAGGGTGAAAAATTGCTTGCGCGTCTTGCTAGTAGGCTTATAGTGGGTACGGCAAGTAGATTCTTAACAGGGGCAAACAGCAAGAGGCTAGTGTGAACGATGGAGAACCTTAAAGTGAAGGAACTCATCGAAATTTGTGAGGAACTCGGCATTACTTTGGGCCGTGCGAAACGAAAGCAAGCGATCCTTGAGATCATGAAGGATGAGGGAGTGTCGGCTGAGGAAGTCGATGAGGCCTGGGTGGATATTAAAGCACGCCGCGAAGAGGCTGAAAGGCGGGAAGCTCGCGAACGTGAAGAAGTTGAAAGGCGCGAAACGTCGCGAGCGCGAGGAGGCCGAGAGACAAGAGCGCCTAGAGTTGAAACGACTAGAATTGGCAATCCTACAGTGTTCGCAGGCGCCTAGCGTAGCTTCTCCGACGATTCAGGTCAGCGGTTTTAGAATTCGGGACCAACTGCCACCGTTCGTAGTAGGCGAGGACATGGCGAAGTATCTCGTCAAGTTTGAACACGTCTGTGAGCGAAACGCTTTGGAGCGGCCTCTTTGGGCGCGGAACCTGCTAGCTCTTCTTCCCGGCGAAGTGTCCGACGCGATAACTTGCTTGTCTAGGGAAGCGTTTGAGAGCTATGACGAGGTTAAGGAAGTGCTCTTGAGACGTTATAAGTTGTCACCCGAGGCTTTCAGGCAAAGGTTCCGGTATGCTGAAAAGGGGAATGAGTCACACGTTGACTTCGCGTTTCGTCTTAAAGCCGATTTAATTGAATGGCTCAAGGGCGAAGGTGTTTATGACGACCGCGATAAAGTGGTGGAATGCGTTGCATTGGAGCAATTCTACCGCTGCATCGAGGAGGATGTCAAACTTTGGCTGCAGGACAGACTTGGGGAAGTACAGTTAAATAAGGCAGCTGAGTTAGCTGAGGAGTATTATACTCGCCGAAAGTTGCATAGCAGGGCAGTGCGCGTTGAAAAAGATGAGAGAAAAGAGGGCTTTTCAAGGAAACCTGATCAACGGAAACCCGTTCCGCACCGTAATTTCAAAAAGGACCCATCTCTTACTAAGGACAGTGTAGGGGAAGGGCAAGCAGAAGCGGAGAAATCGAGTGAGGTTTCTACCACACAGGCATTTGAATCGGAAAACAAACGGAAGCCGCTAATCTGCTACAACTGTAAAAAGGAAGGGCACATCGCGAGAAACTGTCAGGAAAAGTTTGCCTTCGCAACGATCCGAGAATCAGAAAAAAACATGCGGTTGCTGGAGCCGTATCTCCAAGAAATTAGGGTCAATGAGAAAACGTGCCGAGCACTTAGAGACTCAGCGGCAACCATGGACGTTGTCCATCCTTCATTGGTGTCTCCGGATGACTTCACAGGAGAATGCGCGTGGATCAGGCAAGTCGCCGAGGAACAGAGTGTTCGCTTACCAATCGCCACCGTTGTCATTGAAGGCCCGTTCGGTAAGCTTTGCACCGAAGCGGCTGTGTCTGCCGCGCTGAATGGTCGTTTTTCTTATCTTTTCTCCAACAACTCGGAGCAGCTTCTCAAAGAGCAGGGCAAATCGTTCTTCCCCAACTTAGCGTGCATGGCTCCCACGCGATCGCAAGCGCGAAAGCTTTCGCGGAAGCTTGACTTGGTTCCATGCGGTGAACTCTCAAGTGACCTTGTCGGCGGGTCGACGGAACCCCAGAAAGGAAATTTTCCGCATGAGTCATGTGAGCAGTCACGCGAGCGGCCCGTCGCGGGAGCGGCCGGCGCGGTATGCGCTGGGGGAGACGACGTGGCGCCATTGAGTCAGAGCGAGAGGGTTGCAACGCTCTCGCCTGTAGCGGAAAGTTGGAGCGAGCTGCCGAGAGTTGATCGAGAGACGCTCATTCGAGGGCAGAGTGAGGATCTCTCGATTGAAGCGCTAGTGGAAAGCCAAATTGAAGCGCTCGTGGAAAGCCAGAAAAACGCGGCAAAAGTGCTGTCGAAGGAGCACTACGAGAAATCGGGGAAGAAGCGCGCTTTTGAAGTTGATAATCAGGTAATGCGGCGGCAGCCACCCAAAAGGAACAAGCTTGAGGTTGATTGGGAAGGGCCCGCCACAGTATTATCGAAGCCTTGCGATACAACTTATGAGGTGCAAGTAGGAAGGCGGCAGAACAAAATTTACAACTTGATGAAACCCAATGTTCAACATCAAGCGGTCGTAAATCAGCTGTTGAAGGCTTCAGAGGAAGAGGAAGCAGAAATTTTGACTTCTAGTGAGGTAATTGAAGGGGGATCGAAAGTAATCCGGGAGCAGATAAACCTAGAGCCTAGCGTAAGTGAAGGAGGACCTGAGAAAGAGGACCTGAGAAAGATTGTTTCCGAGTTTGGGTATGTGTTGTCGGACCGTCCCGGAGACACGACGGTGATCGAACACGATATCGAGCTAAGCGGTGAGGAGTCAATCAGTAGCAAGCCGTATCGTTGTTCCCCTGTGCAACGTCGAAAGTGTGAGCCGCTCTTGGTGCCGCATAGGTATCGTCGCCTAAAAGTGGCCAGTTACTGAAGTGGGGCATGTTGCTCCACAGCGCAACTTTGACGTTCGCTAAAGAAAAAAAAAAGAAAAGGTAAACGCTAATGCAGGTGCATTGAGCAGTGCGTTCCAGCTAGTAACTTCTCAACCCTTCGGTTTCTGGCTGGCGATTCGGGGCAAAATTTTGACCTCATCACGACCTGGGCTGAGCGCTCTTGTTCAGAGTGATCTCAAGGGGCCAACTTTATGTGGTATTCTAATTCGTTGCGGAGTTGTAATTGTGAAAAATTCAAGTTCTTACTTTAGGAGTCTTTTGTCCCACATGTGCCTCTTGATGTAGAGGGAACGAAATTCCGATAGACACGTAGATAGGTATTTGTTGTTCTATACTTTGTCTGGTGTTCTGTTGGGTGACCGAGGGCACTTGCTTGTGTCGTGTGTTGTCTGTTGTCGAACCGTTCTTAGCAAGTTGCAGAACCATCGACAAGTGCTGAAACCGAAGAGGGTCGGAAGAGACGAGCGAAGTTGGCCAGCAAGTTGTGGCGACAAGCCCGTGGAGCTGGGATCCGTCGTCAAAATGGGATGTGTTCCCGGAACAGTCTGGAGCTGTAGTCTCCCCATGGCCCTGGAGGCGAACCTGGAGGGACCTGGCGAACGAGCGCACCTGACATCCGAGCCCCGTGGAAGCAGCTCGTCTTTCCGGTGCATTGTCTGGCGGCGGGGGTGCTGTTATGCCAGCGAGTCCTCGTCAAACGACCGTGCCTCTGAAAAAGGCAATCTGGGTCAAGGCCAGCCCGCAGTCTGCCTGGCGCGATCACCTCGACGGCGTGAACACGCGCGGCGCTCCTCTGGCCCACGTGCAGTGAGTCAGTTGCGCACGTGACAGCGAGCCGGCGTTCTCGTGCCTGGTGGTCTGACGCATGGCGCGGCGACCCCCATTGGCGGAATCTGCCCGGACGACCAGCGGCGCTTCTGATTGGACACTTTGGTTGGACCCGGTGTAAATAAAAGAAGCCCTGCGGCGCGTCGCGATCGGCGGTCCTATGTGAGAGGCGTCCCCGTGTCGGAGTGCCGACATGTGTGTGAGTCAGCGGTGTTAGGCGAAAGGCTGACCTATGTGTTAGAGAGGAGAGCTCGGCTCTTCGAGTCTCTGTCGGCCCCAGTGCCGAAATTGTAACGCCTCTGTATATATGCTGTACATAAACCTTGTTTAACTCACCGTCGTCTCGTCCGCTCGTCTTATCGGCTCTGCGCAGAAGCAGTCGCGAGCTGAGATACATGCGCTACCAAACGGCTGGTGACCTTCCCGGCGGAGTTGAAAGCAGTGGCGCCTCCGGGGCCGTGTTGGCGTCGCCGTCTTTCGCAACAGTGGTGGCTTCGGTGGGATCGGTCCGTCGTTTCTCAACAATGGCGAAATCAACGTTCGCAAGAAGTTGCAAAGCAAGCAACCCCTCGGCTCCCTCTTTTATATTCCTATTTTTATTGAGATTTATTGATTTCAGAAAAGTTACAAGATTAAATTATGCAGGTGAGGGTCCGAAAGCAAATGTAGTGAAGCCATTGGTTAATTATACAAAAACGTATCGCTGTAAGGAACACAACAAATGACCGACATTATTGGTAAAATCGAATATGTTAAACGAATTATTAAGCATATCATATCAGATCAGCTAAACATGAAAAAGCATAGCGAAAATAAAGCCAAGTCACAAGTGAGATAAAAAAAAAAAACATGGTCAAAGAGCCAGCGTGAGATGGTTCTGTATATTTCAAGTTTTCTTTGTGACACTAACGTGTAAAATTAGGACTCCGGATGTATTGACAATGCGGTGTTCTTCAACGTTCTTATAAATGTAAGCACACGCACCACCAGCATTTCGCTTCCATTGAAATCCGGCTTTCGTGGCCGGGTTCGCGATTCGCCCCCGCGACCTTCGGGTCAGTAGTAGAGTACCACAACGACCAGACCACCACGGCGGGTCAAAGAGGAAACACGCACGCTCACGTGTCACGATTTTTCGAGTGCCTGTTTAATGCTTAGTACTAACAGAGTCCTTCAATACCGTTGAAGCATTGAAGGACTCTGGTGCTACTATTTCCTATATGCGAAGAAACACATTCTGCAGGGAGGCCTTCCGTACTGGCTGTTGTAGCGGAATAGCAGGGAGGCAGACTTTTTCTAGTGAGACGACGACAGAGAAAAAACACATCCTTTCAGTTTGAACGCATCACGAAGACTGGTTTATTCGTTCGCTATGTACCGCTGTCGTAGAGAGGGGAAGAAAAAAAGGAAAAGCAAACAGAGAAGCACAAGTATTGTCAAAGAGTTTCCTCCGCACCCCGCACGTGCGACGGTCTTCAAGGACAGATGGACAAAACGCTTTCCGCGTGTTCGAGAAGGGTCATTGTGGCCCTCACCCCCTTTTCCCTTCACGGCTGGGCTTGTAGGTAAAAACAGATGTCAAGGACGCCCTTCGCTCCTTTCGCATTGCCCGTCACGCGAACCACCCGAAAACGAGTCCCTCCGAGTTGCCCCTCCTCCCCCTCTTCGCCGCGGAGTCTTTCAATTAACGCTCCCCCGAAGCGGGGGCTGCTTCCCAGTATGCGACAAATACAACAACCTCCCCCGGATGAGCGAACTCTTGAGCTCATTGTCGGTCGACTTCTAGCGGATAAAGCAGCTGTATTGGTCGTTTCACCACCGTTCCCCCGCTTAGTTTCAAACTGCAGGCCCGCACCCTGCCGTCCCTGCCCTTGAACGTTTCCTTGATTCTGGCGATCTTCCACATGTGTCGTTTGAGATGATCTTCCTTTAAAAGAACTAAATCGTCTATCTTTAGGTCACTCGATGTCGTTGGCCGGGACAGATGCGCCGATCGAAGCTCCAATAAGTACTCTCTCCGCCACCGTCTCCAGAATCCTTCAGCCATGGCAGACCGGTACTTCCAGCGTCGTGAGATATGCGCGTCACCGCCCGGAATTTCGGCTGGCAGGTGGTGTGGAGGAAGGGTTGTCAGCTTTCTTCCGACGAGGAAGTGCGCCGGCGACAGTGGTTCTGGCTCTTGAGCATCATCGTAGGTGAAAGTCAATGGGCGTGAGTTTATTACGGCCTCGACTTCGTACAAGACAGTTGTGAGTTCTTCAAAGCTTAAACTGCTCCGACCTAACACCTTGCGCAACGCTACCTTCACCGATCGCACCAACCGTTCCCAGAATCCGCCCCACCAAGCTGCCCTTTCAACAATAAACTTCCACCTGATCTGGTTTCCGGCGAAGTATGACTGCATTTCCTCTGATTTTAGTAGCGTGAACATTGCATTCAGATCTTTTGCTGCTCTCTTGAAGGTTAGCGCGTTGTCCGAATAAATAGTCGAGCAGATTCCCCTGCGAGCCACGAAGCGCTTGAAAGCCAGGAGAAAGGCTGTAGTCGACATGTCGCTAACGAGCTCAAGATGGACGGCACGTGTCACAGCGCAGGTTAAAATTGCGATGTAACATTTTCGGGCACCGCGCGACTCTTGACAAATCAAAGGTCCTGCGAAATCGATGCCGACAGTGTCGAACGGATTTCCTTCTGTTACTCTGTCAGCTGGAAGTGGTGCCACTGGTTCCGTGGCTTGAGGGCAACTTTGTTTGCGACAGATGAGGCACTGCTTGATAACCTTTTTTACGGCCTGGCGCCCTCGGATGATCCAATACGACTCTCGCAATGACGCCAAGGTGTCGCGCACCCCTGAGTGTAGCATTCTCACGTGCTCTTTCCTTATGAGCAGTAGCGTGAAGGGATGAGTGCTAGGTAGAATGATGGGATGTTTAGTCTCTTCGTGGTTGTCGGTGAATTGCAAGCGTCCACCAACTCGCATGAGACCTTCCCCGTCAAGGTACGGACTGAGTGGCAGAACAGGAGAGCCTTTGTGCAGTGGTCTTTGGGCTTTCAAGTTGGAAATGTCGTCACTGAATGCTTCTCCTTGAGTTGTTGCCAACCAGTACCTCTCAGCATCGATCACCTCTTCAGCTCGTAGCGGACCACCTTTCCTTTCTTTCCCGCGGCGGCAATTGTTGACAAAGCGGCGGACCCACGCAGTTAAGCGCACGACTCTGCGGCATGAGCTGAACTCCTCTACTTTCAGCACTGCCTCGAACGGCGATGATATTACGGGCATCACCGTCACTTTTCGCTCTTCCAGGTGACATTCTACTGCCCCTGGGCTCTGCTCACCGGTCGTTGGCCAATGCGTCTTATCCTTGTGAAGCCAGTGTGGTCCTCTCCACCACAATTCGCTTTCTAACAAGGCTGATGGGAGGATACCGCGAGTGATTAGGTCAGCGGGGTTGTCTAGTCCTGGGCAGTGCCTCCAATCCTCGGGATCAGTCAGCGCCTGAACCTCTGATACTCGGTTTGCCACGAAGGGCTTCCATCTGGCAGCGTTTCCTTTAATCCAGTGCATAGCCACTGTGGAATCGGTCCAAAGGATGGCAGCAGCATTCTGGAGGTTCAAGGCCTTGGCAACGTAGTGGCACAGTCGAGCACCAATGAGGGCCCCCATCAGCTCTAGTCGGGGTAACGAGAGGCGCTTCAAAGGGGCAACTCTTGATTTGGCCATAATTAGGCTTATATTGATTATTCCTTGAGCAGACTTGCATGCAACGTATCCGACAGCACCGTAGGCCTTTGGGCTGGCATCGCAGAAAATGTGCAACACCTTCTCTGTCTTTTCATCTCGGAAATCCCTTGCGATGATCCTCGGAATGGACACCGCCTTGATGCATTGAAGCTCTTCACACCAGCACCTCCACTCCGCTTGCATCAATTCTGGCAAGGGGTCGTCCCAACCCGCTCCCAACTCCCACAACCTTTGGAACATTGTCTTTACGTACAGTGTTGTAGGAGCGCTAAACCCAAAGGGGTCGAAAATTCTGGCTGAGACTTGCAATACGAATCTCTTGCTGTCGGCTCTGGTGGTGAGGAATTCAAGAAGTGAGGTCAGATTGTACTCGAAGTTATCTGTATGAGCATTCCAACCTACTCCCAATACCTTGGTGGCTGCAGGAAGTTCGGCATTTGCATTCCTCTTCGCCACGTTCCCATCCTCTATGAAGTTGACTAAATCGTGGTCGTTAGACATCCACTTGTGGAGCCGCATTCCTGCTTGAGATAATATATCGCTTGATTCCTGGCATAGCACTTTACCCTGTTCGAGGGTGTCGACCCCTGTCACAAGGTCGTCAACATAGAGATGGCTGCGCAGGATGTTCGCAGTCTCAGCATACTGCTCTGGGAGTCCTTCAAGATGGTGTCGTAATGTTGCGGCTAATAGGAATGGGCTGGATGTAACACCGAACGGAACGCGCGTCATCCGGTAGGCCGCCACCGCTGGAAGTTCTTCACCTTTCTTCGGAGTGGCAGCATACCAGAGAAACCGCACAGCGTTCCGGTCACCCTCTGACAGAGATATTTGAAGGAATGCCTTTTCAATATCCGCGACGATGCCGATGTTGTAAGTGCGGAAGTTGATCAACAAATCAATGAGCTCTGGATTAAGTTTGGACCACTTTCCAAAACATCATTCAGTGAGAGGCGATCTTTGGCACTGATGATGCGTCGAACACCACCCTCACTTTTGTTGTCAGGCTTTCTTGTCGAACAACTGCTTGATGTGGCATGTAATACACCGGACCTTCCGAAGCGCTGCAATGCTTGTTGGCTGGCTCTGCATAGCCCTTTTCGATGTATTCTCGGATGCAGGCGTCATATTCCACGATCAAGGAATCTCCCTTCAAAAGGCGCGTCGTGTTGGCTCTAAGACGCTTCGCGGCGCACTCGTAGTTGTCGTCGAGCTCATCAACCATAGGCTTCCAGGGGAAAGACACTGTGTACCGCCCATGCTCAAATTTGACGGTTTCTTTGTAGTGCTGTTGGATTGCGTCTTGGTGGCGAGCTGGTTCGTGTTCCTTGATACCAATGTGTTCGAGCTCCCAGAATGACCTCAACTGCGCTGATATTTCTTTGTTAGTTTGTTCGCTCACTGCTACTCGCATTACGCCAGCAACAGAGGGACAGACTCCTGGTGACCTTTTTGCGCCTACCTGGCCCTGGACTGTCCACCCAAATGCAGTTTCTACTGCCATCAGCTTGGAGGTTAGGCGCTTAGTGGATCCCGTGACAATTTCCCAATAATGATCAGCGCCGATCAGAAGATCAATGTTTTCACTTCCGTCACCCTGCGCGACGTCCGCGACTGGCAAGCCAAATTTCGAAAGTTCCAGAAGAACTGACTTTAAAGGCGCCGCCATTATATCTGCGCAGATGCAGGGAACTTCGAGGGCCTCCACTCGCGCCCTTTTCCCCGTCGTACTGGCTTTGCAGCCACAGCTCGACCAGACGCGCTTTAGTGCGGGTTATAGCGGACTTGTCGCCGAAGGCATAGATTTTAAGTTCCTCTTCCCCAAGCACGTTCAACTGCAGTCTTTCAGACAACTTGCGATGGATGAACGTCCTTTGACTGCCACCATCTAGGAGAAGCCTGACAAGCGTACTTTTGTGCGGTCCCACTGTCCAAGCTCGTGCTGTTTGCAGAAGAAACTGATGCCCCTCCATGCAACTAAATTTCTCCTCTGAGCCTAGAGAAGACTTTAGCACTGTGGCTTGTCCTGTCGCTGGTGGAGAGGATGCATTCTGTTCACCACTGCCACGGTATTCTCTGAAATCAGGATCACACATAGCCGTGAGGTGTTTTCCGCTACAGTTGGCACACCTGAGCCATTTGGCCTTACGGCACTCTCTTGACGTGTGCCCCTTTACTGTGCAGCGGAAACATCTATTCTCACGCTTCAGCATTTCTCTTTTATCAGCTGCCGACATCTCTGCATCGCAGTCACCGCTTTCGTGGCACCCTGACGAACAAAACAGACACCCTTTTCTCTCCTTGGTCATGGTATGCAGTGCAGCGGCTGAAGACATTCTCGCCGCTTTAAAGGTGCTGTTACGGTTTTCGACAGACGATTCTACACACATGCCCCTTGGTGTTTCGGCCCGCTGTATAATCTCCCGTGCCTCTACCTCGACTCTCAAAAAATGCGCAAATGCCTCCAGTTCACTGCCTCCTGTAGTAGCGCCCTTTCGTCGACAGTATTCGAGATGAAGGTCCGCAGGCACCGCCTTCTTTACTACTGTCAGGAGCAGAGCTCCGTACGTGCTGACACCGACGCCAAGAGAAGTGAGGCTCCGTACACCTCTCTCTACTTCGTCAACGAGGCTCCGAAGTTGGCTGAGGTTCCGCGAGTCACGCACTGACTTGATATTGAGAAGTCTGGACATGTGATCCTCGATTATGGCTTCTTTACGACCGAACCTTTCCTTTAACAGCGAGAGAGCAACTTCGTAGTTTCCGTCGGACAAATCAAGACCCGCAACGGCAGCCGCTGCTTTTCCTGTTAAGTAACTGTTCAGGTACTTGAACTTGTCCACGTTTGACAGGTGGTGGTTAGCGTTTATTGTCGTGTCGAACTGACTCCAAAAGCCTTGCCACTGTCGAAGCTCGCCGTTGAACTTTGCTATCTCTAGTTTTGGCAGCTTTACTGTGGGGGTTACTTGCGGGATGTTACGGCTAGATTCTCTTTGATCTGAGGAACTTGAGGTGCGATCTAGCGAAGCGCTCACTGATGCGGCGTTAGTGCAGCTAAGCTCACGTAGCATGAGCTGTACTTTAGTCCTTGCTACGTTGATCTTTTCTTTGTAGTTCTCGGAGCATGCAATTTCCTCTTCTAATGCATCATCTTCTACGCCAATCTCAATTTCCCGATCTAGCTCTTTGAGTGAGTCTTCCTTAAGGGTGAGAAGGTTGATCTTTTCTTCAAGCTCACCGAGTGACGCGTCGTCCTCCATGGTAGCGATGTCATTGAGCAGCTTTGTTGTTGACGTTCGCACCACGGCCCTTTTGCGCTTCATCCTGTAGATGTCCATCTTTGGGTCCCTTATTCCCGGGTTTCGGCACCAAAAAATGTTGTAGCGGAATAGCAGGGAGGCAGACTTTTTCTAGTGAGACGACGACAGAGAAAAAACACATCCTTTCAGTTTGAACGCATCACGAAGACTGGTTTATTCGTTCGCTATGTACCGCTGTCGTAGAGAGGGGAAGAAAAAAAGGAAAAGCAAACAGAGAAGCACAAGTATTGTCAAAGAGTTTCCTCCGCACCCCGCACGTGCGACGGTCTTCAAGGACAGATGGACAAAACGCTTTCCGCGTGTTCGAGAAGGGTCATTGTGGCCCTCACCCCCTTTTCCCTTCACGGCTGGGCTTGTAGGTAAAAACAGATGTCAAGGACGCCCTTCGCTCCTTTCGCATTGCCCGTCACGCGAACCACCCGAAAACGAGTCCCTCCGAGTTGCCCCTCCTCCCCCTCTTCGCCGCGGAGTCTTTCAATTAACGCTCCCCCGAAGCGGGGGCTGCTTCCCAGTATGCGACAAATACAACACTGGCTCTTGCGGAAAGATCCCGGCATTCGCCTAAGAACAATGGATACAAGTGAGTCCTTGTGGAGCGCCTACGTTTATACAATTGCTGCGGAGCGATTCAAAGTGCTTTGTGTCGTCATCTTAATGAAACATCGCAAGAAGCGACAAAAACAGTATGAAACACCTGTCATGAACAGAAGCGTCTATCTCATGACATATTGATGACGTCACCAACTCGTCCTGGTGACATACCCTTAATGAAACGTACACGTGTACCAGACAATGAAAAACAATGATTAGTAATGACAATTCACGAGCGTGGTGACGGCTACCTTTGCAATGTGTCAGTCTGCCTTCTATCTAGAAGATTATGAGTAGTAAATAATTGAAGACATTTATTCTGACAATACGTATGCCACTTGATTACCCTATATTTCGAGACAAATCAACAAAAGACGCGTCGCGCGATATATCTTGGGACATGACTAATGTAAACAGATGCATAGGCGACCACACTCTTTTCTTTATAATTGTGGTTTCACTACAGCATCGAAACACTATGCCGCGAAACGAACTTAAAAAAATAAACTACCGTGAATGAAGTGTAAATTTAAGGGATCGTTTTGTTCGTTAGACACAATATTAATGAGAACTATAGCAGATAATAACGCCAGTAGACGTGTAGGGTTTGTTATTAGAAGAATTTGGACTGTAAGTGCGAAGAAAGAGATAAAAGTGGGCGAAAAGATGACTTGCCGCCGGCAGGATGTGAACCTGGGACCTTCGAATAACGCGTCCGATACTCTACCACTGAGCTACGGTGGCGGTCATACCTCCGTACACTTTATAGGGCTGATATGTATGGATGCATGGATGGATATGCTGTACCCTTTAGATCGGGCGGTGGCTAGCGCCACCAAGCCGTAATACTTAATGAACCAAAAACTAGATTTATTTTTTTTTCCTTAAAAGCGAAGTTGAGGATTCGTACTTTGCAGTGAAGCGTTTAATTTTCACTCGTGCCTTGACTTTAGCCACCAATCAGATAACCCGCTTCTAGTTAATTCTACCCGTGCATTTAAACGTGAGAGCCACCTAACGCCACTGCGGCGAGTGCGGTACACTCTTATTGCTCCTTGTGGCGTCATTGTATACGAATATGTTTACGTCCCATATCGATGTCTCGCGCGTGAGGCTTACCCTTACGAGGGACGATGCTTAACCATGGCACCTGGGCAGCGCGCGCTACTTGAGGCGACCCAACGCCAGTCCACCAGTCCATCACGCTGCAGGGCGCGCCTTTTGCGAGCCTTAACAGATACGACGAGCACTTTTCATTGAAGCACGCAGTAATATCAATGTGCAATCAAGCCCGAATCAAAAATTTCTTTCAGCGTACATCCAATTTGTAGACCGCTACCTCGTCGAACTTTTCAAGCGTGTGAGGCACCTCCTCGTGAGGAACGGTGGCCCCATCATCATGGTTCAGGTGAGTTTGTTCGCCTAGATGATTTGAAGGCAACAGGCGTGCGTCTTTCTTTTTCGTAGTCGATGAACTGAACCTTCCACGCCTCTCGCCCGATAGTCTTCTGCGCCTAACTCGGTGTTGCACTGCTTACGCGATGTCACGTGTTAACCTGGTGACGTTGCCACGAAAAACTTTTGCAATACTTGACGTTCAGACGACGTCATAGAGTGACGTCGTCACGCGATTATTATTGTTATTATTTTAATCGCTCGTGTTGACGTTGCCGACGTCACGGATGCTCGTTTGTCGGGTTTGATGAGGCGCCTAAGGTTTTCGCCTCAGAAACGCTTTGCACATAAGAAACGCAGAGCGTTGAAGAAATAACGACCGAGATTCACTCAACGTACGCCCGTATAATATTCGTCAAATGATGATTTATCCCACTGGCATAGTCGTTTGTATTGATGTCTTCGGATACATTTATGGTAAATACCGGTAATACCACCATGGCGCAGGTGGAAAACAAGTACGGTTTGTCCAGGGAGTGTAACCGCACCTACCTTCGGCACCTGCGAGACCTAATGCGCCGAGAGCTGGGTAGTGACACTGCGCTATTCACCACAGACCGCGTCGGAAAGGGCGCCGAGTCTTGTGGCTGGGTCGAAGGAATCTTTCCTGCAATGGCCTTCGGAGCTGGTACGTGTCTCAACAACGAATTCTGAAAGCGCGAAAAAAATATCTGCGAAATCAGAAATCACTCTTGACTGGATAATTAGGGGAAGAAAGTAAAAGTGAGGGCAGCGAGATGAGGGACTGATTTGAGCCTGCTTGGTATTCGAGTAGTTGTACATATGGTTGCGAATTGTCCACGTCACTTCGTATTGTTACAGAGCCTGGGATAAACCAATGTTGGCCCCATTCCCACAGACATTTGTAATGTAGTCGATAACATTGTAGGCTTTGCGAATATCTGTACGTATACGATGACAGCTACTCGGAGTTAGTCAACAATTTTGAGCGACTGCTTCCAGTCGATACTGTATACGCTTGAGTCATAGGAATGTTCTTGCCGAGTTCAACTAACTGTATGATAATATTTAATTGTACTGATAGCAATCTAAGGAGCAATTATCTATGCCACCATAATCTACGAATCAGCGGCTACTGGTGCAGGAAGTTATGGTGACATCGCCTACCGCGTTTGCTATTTGCGTGTTTTCTCGCTGGCGAAGCCTTCCCGCAGTAATCGGGTTAGTTTTTTTATTTGTTATAAAGTCGCATTTTTAATCTAGCGCCTTCGTTTTTTGTTCTTTTTTATTTAATTATACAAATGTTCTGGGCTGGCAAATTGATAAATTTAATTTTACTTGAGGCGCATACAGTACTCGGGAAGGACCTTCGTTTAATGTTTAATTATTATTGGGTGCGCGGATTTTCAGCAGTGGTCAACGTGTCTGAGGTGTTCGCCAAGCAGCGGCTCAACCAGAAACGGGGTCCCCTGTTCGTCTCCGAGCTTTACACGGGCTCGAACGACCGCTGGGCAATGCCCCATCGGTCCATGGACCATGCCATGGTAGCCAGCACGCTACGCCGAGTCCTACTGGCCGGCGCTTCGGTAAACCTGTGAGTATTCGCGCAGCGAAAGACGCTACCATGAGATAGGCGCACAGTCTCGAACTTTGCTCACTGTAGCACCGACAATGCCCTGCCGAATCACTCACGCACAGAAGGACACCAGTACGATGAGTCTGTGCATTTGTAGCTCTATCACCACAGTTCTTTCATTACGATGCCGATAGATGTGACAGTGACCGGAGAATGCTCTGAACAACGGAGCGAACTTGAGCTCGTCGGTCAAGAATTGTGAAGCACACAGTGCAAGTAACAACGGGGATACAGGAGGCCATAACTTCAGTGCTTCACCAATAATGACATCACCAATAATGACAAGTGAGTGAAACCAGTGTGAGCACACAGTATTTATGCTATCGAACGGTTTTAGATGCGAAACTTCTTGGTAGAGCTCGATCCGGTGTGCGGCGTGAGCACACTTACCACGCATGCGCGTCCCCTCCCCCTCCTACCCTCTCCTATCTCTCACCTCGCAACGCCGGCGCAGGCAGCGTCGGCTTTCGAACGCTCACTCCCCCTCTCCCTTAGGCATTCCTCCCTGTGGTGTTAACACGCCCATTGCGCATGCGCGGCTCTCCTCTCTCCTCTCATACGCTCCACCTTTCTCGCCGCGCAACGCAGGGAGAGGCTGCAAGTCTACGCTCACTTACCCCCCCCCCCGTATTGCTGCCCCCCTCTCTAAGCATCTCTTTCCGCGGTGTTTGCACCCTCGTTGCGTATGCGCCCCTTCTACGCTCCTCCCTGCCATCTCTCGCATCGCAACGATGACGAAGGCAGCGGCTGCTAGCGAGTTTCTGATTTGAAACACTGACTGATCGCGCCGCACAACCGTTCACTGGCGACACCTCGTGTATATATATATATATATATATATATATATATATATGAAGAAGTTTTGCAATGGGCCAAACGTACTATATATATATATATATATATATATATATATATATATATATATATATATATACACACTGGATCGTAACCTTCAAAAGTAGTGCCGCTGGTATATTTCTCCTGTGCGTTGTTGACCAAAAAAAATTTGCACCGAGCGCTTTAACTAAAAGTTGGCTACGTGTCTCTCTGTTCAATCAGAGTATAGTCTGTTTCTCGTTGCCCTTTAGCCGCCATTGGCATGTTCCAGTGGTAAACACTGGTCAATCAATGCGTGCTTTGCGCCTCCCCGGGTTTCTCTCCTGCGCAACGCCGCGATGAGGCTAGCGACATCGCCACCGCCAGTGTAAACGTTAGAGCCCGCTGCTTTGCGTCTACACATGTTTCCATTCAGCGGGAGATGCTGTACTTTTTCTCCTAGTAAAAATAAAAAGTAATGAGCACGCCCCCTCCTCAGGAGTTACTTTAGGCTACCGTCCCCCCCCCCCCCCCCCCGCCCTAGAACGAGTGGCTGGAT